ACGTTGCAGGCACACTAAAATATTTTTGCTATTTTCCTTCTGCAGCACTGCACTTTGTGATAGAATCAGATTAAAGATTTTTGGTTGCAAAAATGAAATTCATGTTCCCACTGTAATTGGGGATGATTTAATTTGCTGTCAGAAATAATGGATGAGGTGCACTCCCTCAGACTTATTCTTTGGAGTGTTTCCCTGATCATGGTTCCAAATGGCCCATGATTTACTGGGAATACTGGATTCCAGATCTGCCTACTGAAGCCCTTTCCTCTGCTGATGAACCAGGGGATGCTGAGATCTACTAAATGTGCAAATGAGCCAGTGGGATGTGGGTATTTGGTAACAGTCCATGTTCAAACTCTCTGAGGTCCTTCTGTAGAGCTCTCACTTGTTTCTTTGTAGATTGTGTATAAAGAAGTGGAGAAATCCCCAACTGTTGACACAGAGAGACTTACTTTCCCTCCAACAAGAGCATTGGCTAGTTCTCTCTTCTGCACAAAGAGTAAATGTAAGCCAAAGTTTACTCAAACCAGACACTTGAGTTTGCCTTGGGAAGTCTTTAAATAAACATTGTAGGTGAACTCTGCCCCTTGGATGGTAGAACAGATCCTCTGGATGTTCTTGAGGGCAGTAAAAATTAGTCTCTGTCTTTGTGGCACTGTAAGTCACCTTTGGTTAACAGTGTTTGAAATATTAGTTAAAAAAAAAAGTTAAAAGGCAGTAAAAAAATTAATCTCTAATTTTCCTGATTTAATCTGAGGAATCTCAGGCTGAATTTTAAGCCTTTCCTTTTCTGTAGGAGGGCAGGAATAGTAGTAGGGTGGCTGTGAGGATATGGTATCTTAAAGCAATTGAAATTTTGAATGGAACGTCTTGGAGAAGAATAAAATACAGTCCTATCGCTTCAGAGATGAGGGGTTTTAACAGTTGGATGTGAATGCGTTGTCCACCCAGGCTCACTTAGTGAAATACTTTTATTTCCCATTCCAGATGACATTTCCCAGGTGCCAGTTTCTTTACAGTACATCAAACCAGTTGCTGACAGGGCAAATCCCAAAGTGGGAGTTGGGATGTTGGCCTTCAGTGCAGATAACTGTTTCCTGGCAACCAAAAATGGTAGGTTCTGACTGCCCTGCCTTAGAGGGGAAACCATGTGGGGCATGTGGGGGGTTTCCTTAGCAGAAATGATCCTTTGCACTATAAAAAGAGTCATGGCCCTGTAAAATCAGCTCTGTTGTGAGATGTGTAACTACAGAGGAATCCCAGCCTGTCTTCTAGTGTGTGTTAACTGTTGTGAACTGCCAGAACTGCTGATCAGGGCATGAACTCAGCCTTGGCTCTGTATTTAATGAAAATAGTGGGGTTTTAGGTTTCTTCAAGTTTGTGTCAGCTCACTGTATTGAAAATGAAACAAATCTTCCCACCTACAGCCTGAGTCTCTTAAGAGGCAGGACTCTGCTCAACCTATAGCAGGAGGAATTCTGACTCCCTGAATAGTGAAAGTCATGGAATTAATGTTCAGTTTTTCCCTTTGGTCCTGAGGGGCTGTTTGTGCCTGGGTGCCAAAGCTCTGAGTCAGGTGCAAAACCCATCAGACAGACCAACGTGATAAAAGCTAGGGACGGACTGGGAGATGAACTAGATCACTTTTATCTTTCTTTGCAATATTTCCAAGGCTGAGTGTTTCCTGAAGGCTCTGCTTGGCAAAACTCAAGTGGTGCTAACCCTGGGCTGTACTTAAAGGTTTGCCTTGGATGAATTTGTTTGTTGCTGTGCATTTAGAAAAACCAGGCGTGATCCTTTTATCCTCCAGCTATCACACGATTGCTGCTTCCTCTGCAGATAACATTCCCAACGCCGTGTGGATCTGGGACATCCGGAAGCTGAAGCTGTCCGTGGTGTTGGAGCAGCTGTGCACGATCCAGAGTTTCCAGTGGGACCCCTGCCAGCCCCGCCTGGCGGTGTGCACGGGCAGCAGCAGAGTGTACCTGTGGTCCCCAGCTGGCTGTGTTGTTGTACAGGTGCCTGGGGAAGGTGAGCAGCAGCTGCCACAACCTCTCAGCAACTGCTCAGTGACAAAATATTATTCCATTTATAAACTGATCTGAGTGTTATCCTGGAAATAGCTCAGGTGTGTTCTTGGAGCTGCTTAAAAATGGGTGTTTTCACCCTTGGGAAAAGAGGAGCTCGTAGTGAGACACAGGAAATGTCTCAAGGACAGCACGGGGCCAGCAGGAATTTGTGTGGCTGATTCCAGCTGCCTTTTCCTCCAGCAGGAGCATGGGCTGCCACCTCCTTGCTGACACACTCTGATTTCTT